TGAAAATAACTGCAGTTGATGTACCAACATAAACTGCAGAGAATGAGGAAGCAGAGAAATCCTAAGAAGAGCTGCATAAGACACTCCTAATTATATAAATATATACTTTAATACTCTGATTTTGATGCAAACCTGAGAGCAAAATAGGGGTGAATATTGACAAATATGTTAAAAAATATAGGGCTAGAGTAAGAAATGCACGAAGTCAAGACTTGTAGACTATACTGAACCCTCTTTTCGGTATGTCACAAATACTTTACATGGAAACACTACAGATAGGTAACCATGGTAATGTAGTCATGCAAAAAAAAAACCTCCTGCATTATCCATGTCCAAAATTTTTTTTTAAATAAAAAAATAAAGAAGGAAAAGAACATTATTTGTACCCTGAGTCATTTACTTCTTTATCTGGAAGTAGATAGTATGTTTCACTGTGAGTCTTTGGAATTGTGATTGGTCATTGTGCTGATCAGCATCATTTAAGTCTTTGAGAGTTGAATGTCCTTACAATGTTGTTGTTATTGTATAAACTGTTCTCCTGGTTCTGTTCCCTTTATTCTGCCTTAGTTCATACAAGCCTTTTAGTTTCTTCTGAAATCATCCCCTTTAGCATTTCTTTTTAAAAATTTTTTTAACATTCTTTTTAAAATTTTGCATTCCAAATTCTCTCCTTCCCTCTAGGCCCTCCCCCACCCATTGAGAAGGCAAGCAATATGATATCTATTATATACCTGAAGTCATGCAAAACATATTTCCATGTTAACCATATTGCAAAAAAAACATGAGAAATAAAAGTGAAAAAATATGCTTCAGTTTTTCTTACAGCAAAATAGTATTCCATTGTATCATACTTTCTTCAAAAGGAGATTGGAAGGTACTGAACATGCTGAGCACTGAACAAAATCATTAAATTAAATTGATTATAATAGACAGGAAGTGATTGGTTAACAATGTAGATATTACAGTCATATTATAGACTTGTTAGAACAAAGATAAAAATAGATACCTCACCAGAAAGAAATAATAAAGATGAGAAGATACAGTGTATATTTGAGGCAACTCAAACCCAGCCTGTTTAAACATGTGAATAACACCAAAAAAAAAAAGGAAAAGGATAAAAGGACAACCATTGATATCAACTATCACCATTTCCTAAGAAAATGTAACCATGTAAATGATTTTGTCACAATGAGACCAAAAAAGGCTAGACACTAACTTGTTATAGGCCATCATTGCTGGTCACTACCTAGGTGACTGCTATAGCTCATTTCATAATTCAAGGTACTCTTAATCAGTGAATTTCAGTCTGTTGAAATAGCACTAAATTTCTGCCTATGGAAGTAAGGCTAACTGATGAATCATACCCTTGGATAGGGATGGACCCATTTATTGTTTACTGTATAGTGAAATTGACAGTGCAATCTCCATCTTGGGAGATTTACCCCTCCCCAGTAGAAGAAATATTTATATTAAGCGTAGTGTATTGTAACATTTTATGTTATGTGCTGAGTTAATAATGTTTGAAGCATGTTACAACTTCTTGTAATTTCTTAGCTTGTCTATCAAAAGTTCAGTAATTTTTTTCTCTCTGTAACTTTTGTGAGGTTTCACTGTACAAACTTTGCCCCCTTATAATATTATAAAACACATGAACTTCTTCAAGGCTGTTCTTAGCTATGAGAAACTTTACTGGGCAAGCTGCCCACTCTGATATAACAGCTACCTCCCAAATATGCTTAATATGTGTCAAGGCCAAGCTACCCAAAAGACAGAAAAGTTCAGAAAAAAAAATGTAAAGATGTAAAGAATAATTAGAACTAATGGGAAGAACCATGAGAATGGAGCAATAAAACAAAACAACAAAGGGAAAGGAAAGCAAATAGTATGCTTCCACCTGCATTCAGACTCCATAGTTCTTTCTCTGGATGTGGAAAGCATTTTCCATCATGAGTCCCTTGGAGTTGTCTTAGATGCTTGCATTGATGAGAAGAGACAAGTCTATCAAAGTCAGTCATTGCACAGTGTGGCTGTTAACTGTGTGCAGTGTACAGTGTTCTCTTGGTTCTGCTTATTTCACTCAGCATCAGTTCATTTTTCTGAAGTCCATCAAACCCCATTCTTGATCCAATTGCTCTTTTATGTCTATTTCCCTCAGTCCAACCCTACATATGAGAGTGGCCACACTCTCATAAACTGTCTCAGCAAATAGGCTAAACCAGGTTAAGAGTACCCAACAGGCCTCAAACCTGTTGCTGGATAGAGGGATATGAAGACTCCTCTCTCCTCCCCCTCTGGAATGGAACAATTTGTTTTAAAGCAGACACTTTTCAGTGTTTAGAGCTTGGTCAGACATGGAACATGCCAAGGTCATCCACCGTACCCCAGGCCATTGCCCATGGTCCTGACTTTTATCTCACCACTGGGACTTTGATGACTATAGAAAGAGATTGAGGTTGATGACTTTGAGCAACTCTGCCTCACTTAAATCCAATTGACATGCAAGTCAAGATATCACCTATGATGGCACTGGTCCTCTTTGAAAACAAAGGACAAAGAACAACAATGAGCATACCACTCTATATTCCTTTCCAACTCTTGCTCTTGAAACAGGAATCAAATCAATGCTACCTTTGCTACTGGAAAGGGTGTGACAGTCTACAATCCCTGTGGCTCCCCAAACAAAAACTTCTTTCCTCTTCCCTCTTAGAATGTAAGCTCCTTGAAGGTGAGGCCTGTCTCTCTTATCTCTATCTTCAGCACTTGGCATAGACCTGACACAGAGTAGGCATTTTAAATGCTTTTTTATTCATTCATCCAATAAGTTGTCTCCTAAGCATGTATTAAAATTACACGAGATTTCTTGAAAGATGTAGCTAGAGATAAATTTGTTCAATATAATAGCATTCAATAATAGCAAACAAGGAGATATACATTTGCCAAAGGTGTTTGCCATAGGCATGGTAGATGTGTAGCATAATAGAACACAAATGGAAGAAGAATTCCCTATAGATAGTAAGGTCCTCCAGATGCTCTTTTTTGAGGGGTTATTTGTCTATTGGCTAATTCGTCAGCTCCTATGGGTATAATGAGTCAAGTCAGCAAGCATTATTATATGCCTATTACTACCAAACTGCTATGGAGATACAAAAAAAAAGGCAAAAAACCAAATATGGGGGCAGGTAAGTGGCGCAATGGATAGAGCATCAGCCATGGAGTCAGGAGGACCTGAGTTCAAATCCTGCCTCAGACACATGACACTTACTAGCTGTGTGACCCTGGGCAAGTCACTTAACCCCAATTGCCTCATCAAAAAAAACAAAAACAAAAATAAACCAAAAACAAACACACACCCAGGCCCTGCTCTTAAGGAACTTAGTCAAATGGAGGAGATAACATGCAAATGACTGCACACAAATAAGGCGTATAAGTTAGAAATTGGAGATAGTAACAGAAGGAAGACTTCATGCAGAAGACTGGATTTTAGTTGAGAACTGGAAGCTATGTAGACCAGGAGAATTCTAGGCACAGGGAACAGTGAAAATGCATAGTCTGGAGATGGAGATTTGTTATTGTTGTTGTTTTTTTTTGGTGAGGAACAGCAAGGAGGATAATTTCTTTGTACTGTTAACCTGACAGTTTGGTTAAAGAAGGTAAACAAGTTAGGTGATACATGATTATATAGTTTATTCCCTTTTAGCTAGCGAATCATGTTAACATGGAAGCCAGAATGTGATTCTGACTCCAAGATTAAGCAAAATGAGAGAGGTTTTATACAGTTTAGAGTGATCAGACTCAGGATGTCTGTGTTACAATTTTTTTAAACATATAGCATGGGAAAGGAATTTTCTTAATTGAATAGTTGTAAATACAATAAAATAGGAGAATGTAAAAGTGTCAATAGAAATTACAGACCAAGATAAGAAGAGTCCCATTACTCAAGAGAGTGTCTGGTCCCAGACATTCTGGGCTTAGTGATAACGAACAGGAAGAACCCTGGTCAGTTCCATCTGATCCTGGAATTTGCTGACACAGGAAGGGGTGTTTTTAGTTCATTCAAAGAGAAAAAGATTAATTCAGGTTTTTGGCCCTTATTGGGGCTCAATTGATCTTAAATGATTATCATTACCAAAGAATATGTAGCCAAACTGGCCTTTTCTCTGTTTCTCACAAATCACATTTCATCTTCTGTCTCTGTGTTATCTCCTGTGCCTGGAATACACTATCTCCTTACCACCTCTCCATAGACTTCCTCTCCTCCTTCAAGATGCAGCTTATAGCATCATCTTCTAAACAAAGCCCTTCATGATTCGCCATCCCTGCACCAGCCCACCAACTTCTTTCTACCAAACTACTTTGGGTGTGTTTGTATTTATTTTATATTTATTCTGTTTACATTTATAGAAGTACTTAATTTCTGCCCCATTAGAATGCAAGATTCTTGATAGTGGGAATTGTTTCATTTTTTTGGTATTTGTAGCCCCATCACCTAGCAAAGAATCTGGCACACAAGAAGCACTTTATAAATACTTGTTGATTGATAGGTTGCTGATTGCATCAAGCCCTGGAAGACTGCAGGGCTCCTATATGACATCTGCAATCCCTCAAAAGATCCCTCCTAACTGTTCATGGGCAGGTGGAGAGAATGCAGGCCTGGAGTCAGAATAGACCTGAGTTCAAATCCAGCCTCAGTTATTTACTATGTGGCTCTGGACAAGTTATTTAACAGTTTGCCTCAGTTTCTTCATATGTAAAATGAGCTGACAAACCTCTCCAGTATCTTTGCCAAGAAAACCCTTGGGATCACGAAGACTAGGACATGACTGAACAACCTAGAGGTGATAGGAAGCCACAGAAGTTTGAATGGGAAAGTGATATGGCCAAACCTGTGGTTTAGGAAGATCATTTTGATAGCTGTGTAGAAAGAAGATGGATTGGAGTGGGGAGAGACTTGAGGCAGGGAGACCATCAGGGTATTCCAAATAGTCCAGGTGTGAGGTGAAGGTCTTCACTAGGTCTGCACCAGGGTGGTGATGGTATCAAAGGAGAGAAAAGGGCAAATGAGAGAGGTGTCAGGAAGGTGAAATCCACACATTTTTGTATAGATGGTTTCTTTTTTTAGCCTTTAAAATATTTTTGGTATGGAGTCCTGACGATAGAATTGATGTGTTCAAAAAATAATCAATTTTGTCAATATAATCCTGTTGGATAGTGCTCTTCAAGATATTTGCACAAATCTACCTACAATTCCACTCATAATTCATTAAAGTGTAAGAAATCCTCAACAATTCCTGGGGGTAATTCCGTATTTGGCCTAGACAATGCATGACCTTTTCATTCTAATCTTCACTATTGTTACAAGATACTGTATCCTCTGCGCACATTCATTGTCTTCACGTATCAGGATGGTGCCTGCGGCTTAGGCTTCACGCTAGGAACCGCACCTGTTAGAGGAATGGATGATTGGCCGGCCCTGGTCGTTAACATTCACCTCCTACGGTTGAAAGCTTAAGGAAACTGCTGAGGGCTCAACATTTGAACTGCGGTTTTGGCTTTGCCATAGAACGAGAATAACCTATAGGGAAGAACTGTGTAGAACCATCGACCAACCACAAGCAAGCATCAGGCCAAAGGCTGGGACTCCAACAGACCAATTAGAGACGCATAGTCTAGCACCGGCCAGTCAGATGTAGGACTGAGAGGAGAAATAGGCGGGCCAATTGCCTTAGAAAATAAACAACAGTCCGCAGGAGAGCATCTTTAACCGACGAGCACTCTCGGTTCCTTTTAAACCCCAAGAGGGAGTATAGGTTTAGCTAAAATACTCTTCACCTTTCCCATTAGCATACCGCCTCGTTAATGTCGGTGCGATGGCCTAGCTTCCTCTTGTTCATGTTAGCTTAGAGAAAGCAAATGCAACTTTTTCTGGGCTGTCACAGCATTTAGAACCACTCACTCTCTCTCCCCAAAGTGGGATTGGCGTCCGGAATAGCGCAGGCGCAGTCTCCGGGTGGGGGTGGGGGTGTTGGGGAGAAAGGGGCAGCCTCTGCCCGGGGCTTTCTGGGATCTGTATTTCCTCAACGGACAGGTTACGAAGCTTCCACCACTTCGGGGACTACAGCCCCCAGAAGCCTCAGCGGCTCTCAGGGGGCGGGCGGTCTGGTCGTTAATGAGCTCGAGGAAGCCGCGGTGCGGCCCACCAGGTTCCAAAACACGGAAATGAAGGAGGGAGGCGGGACTGAGGGTGCCTGCGGGAGCCGCCGCGGAGGAGAAGGAGGAGGAGGCCGCCGCGATTGCGGTGGTGCTCCGTGCTGAAGGCGAGGGACGCTCGAGTTGGGGAAACCGAAGGGTGGGGGGGGGAGCGCCAGTGCGCGCGCCCGGGCGCCAGGCGTCTGTGAGGGGAGAAGTGGAGCGGCGGGCCGCGGGAGGAAGCGGCGGCGGCGGAGTGAGTGAGCGGCGGCGGCCCCCGCGTCCCCCGCGCCTCTATGGGGGAAGCAGACAATGGATTATGACTTTAAGGCGAAGCTGGCGGCGGAGCGGGAGCGGGTGGAGGATCTGTTTGAGTACGAGGGCTGCAAAGTGGGACGCGGCACCTACGGTCACGTCTACAAGGCGAGGCGGAAAGATGGGTAAGAGCCGCCTGAGGATGCCCGGGGTTGCGGCGGGGACGAGGAGGGGGTAAAGGCGGGCTCGCGGAGCAGCCTGTAGCCCCGGGGGTCCCCACCTCGGGCTCGGGCCCGGCGCGGGGGGTGCGGAATCGCGCCGGGTGGCTTGGGTGGCGGCTGGCGATTTGGGGCGCCCAGCGCCCGTTCTCTCGGTCCTCTCGTCCCGATCCTGCTCCGCGCGGGAGGCGAGCATCTCCCCCTCGTAGCTCCCGGTGCGCGGTGTCGGCGGAGAGGCGCCCGTGCGGACCTGGGCTGGAGGGAGGAGTCTGCGGGCTCTGGTCTCCTGGGGAGACGGCGAGGGGCGGGCAGAGCGCGGCGAGGGCGGCTCGGCTGCTGCTGCAGCCGCGGGCACGGCTGTGACGGGCGTCCCTCGATCTCCAATCGGCGGAGGCCGCCGCTCCCGGGGGGTGGAGGGGGCAGTTCAAACCCGGCTGCGGGAGCCTCGGGCAGAGGCGGGGACGTCTCGGGGTGGGGGTGGCCCCAGTGTCCGACTTGGGTAGGTTTTTGTCTCTTTGGCTGCTATGGGAAGGTCCTGGGTCCAGTGTTACCGGGCTGCTGCTTTGGGCACTCTAAATCAAGGGAAGCGCTCCCGCCCCCCCTCAAAAAACCCCCAGACAAACAAAACAAAAACAAAAACGATCACAAACGAAAACCAAACTACTCTCCTCCTTCTTAATAATAATAGCAAACGTTTCTATGGTGCTTACTATGTGTCAAGTAACCGTGTCAAGCTCTTTACAAATACCTCATTTGATCCTCACAACAACCTTGGGAAGTAGGTCCTGTAATAATAATGATAATGATGATAGTAGTAGTAGTAGTAGTAGTAGTAGTAGTAGTAGTAGTAGTAGTAGTAGTAGTAGTAGTAGTTGTTGATAATAATAGCTAACACTTATATAGCTTACTATGTGCCAGGTAACTGGGATAAGCTTTTTAGAGTTATCACATTTGATCCTTACAACAGCCTTGGGAGGCAGGTGCTGTTATAGTCGTTGTCGTCATCGTCATCATCATCATCCTCCTCCTCCTCATCCTCATTATCTCAGCTATTATTTATGTAGGTTACTATGTGCCAGGTAATGGGATAAACTCTTTACAGTTATCTGTTTTGGTCTTCATGACAACCCTGGGAAGTAAGTGCTGTTCTTAATAATAGTAATAGTAACAACAACAGCTAACATTTATATAGGGCTTACTATGTGCCAAGTAACTGTGCTAAGCTCTTTAAAATCATCATCTCATTTGATCCTCACAACAACCTTGGAAGGTAGGTGCTGTTAATAATAATAATAATGATAATAATAATAATAGCTAACATTTATGTAACTTACCATGTGCCAGGTAACTGGGCTAATCTCTTTTCAGTTATCTTACATTTGATCTTCACAACAACTCTAGGAGGTAGGTGCTGTAATAATAATAATAATAATAATAATAATAATAATGATAATAATAATCATAATAATAGCAGCTAACATTTATATAGCACTTAGTATATGTTGAGCACTGTGATTATCTCATCTGAGCCTCACAATAACCCTGGGAGGAAGATGTTTTTATAATAATAATTATAGCAGCTAACACTTACATAGTGCTTACTATGTGCCAGGCACTGTGCTAAGTACTTTATAATTATCTGGTTTGAGCTTCACAACAACCTTATGAGGTAGGTGCTGTAATAATAATAATAATAATAATAATAATAATAATAATAACTAACATTTATGTAGCACTTATCTGTGCCAGCTAACTGTGCTAACTCCTTTACAGTGATTTCATTTGATCCTCACAACAGCCTTGTGAGATTGGTGCTGTAATAACAATAAAAGCTAACATGTAGGGCTTGCTGTGTGGGCCAGGTGTTTTATAATTACTATCTCATTTAAACCTCATAATAATCCTGGGAGGCAGGTGCTGTTATTATCCCTATTTTACACATGAGGAAACAGAGGCAAACAGGGGTTAAGTGATTTACCCATTGACACACAGCTGGTAAGTGTCAGAGGCTGGATTTGAACTCAGGTTTACCTGATGCCAGGCCTAGTACTCTATCCACTGTGCCACCTAGCTGCTTTTCTCCATCCTGGCCTCCTCTCCCCCTCCCCCACTCTGCTGTTATATTCTGTTCCTAAATTCTAGGTTGTGGTTGTCTCCCCTAAAATTCTATATTCCTTTTCTGGATTTCCTTAATTCTGGAGCCTTTCCTCTACAATTTATCTCCGGTAATTTTGCACATAGTGTTTTGCATGTTGTCTCTCTGATTAGACTGTGAGTTTCTTGAGGGCAGCCACCTTTTAACTTTTCTTGGTATTCCCAGCGTTTAGCACATGCGTAGCAAATTGTAGGGACTTAATAAATGCTTGTGGGCTTCGCTGGGATTATGAAACATCCTCAAACAGTGTCACCTAGTGACCTAGGGGTGGGGGGCTGGTCAAGGTGACTTCACTTGGAGTAAGGAAAGACCTGAATTGAAATTCAACCTTAGCTGTCTGCTGGCTGTGTGACTCTGGGCAAGGCACTTAATCTCTTTCAGTCTGCTTCCTCATTTGTAACATGGATATAATAGTAGCAGCTACATCACAGGGTTGTTGTTAGGATTAAATAAAGTAACATGCACAGAGCTTTGCAAATTGTAAAGTCCTCTGTGTAAATGCTAGCTAGCTGCCTCCATCTCCTGACAAATCCACTTGATTCTTTTGCTTCACCACTTCCATCTATAGCCTTGTTTTTTATTTTAAATTGATGGGGAAAGTTCCGTAAAAAATGGTAGCTATATGTGGTTATTCTATAGTGGGTGAGTTCACATAGGTGCTACCTGCAAGCCGGCCCAGGACAGACAGAAGTAAAATTAATTTCTTGTTTTCTTTTATATTATAAGTAAAAACCCAAGATTCTTAGGGAGAGCTAAAGAATGTACCTATGCCTGAACCCATTGAGTGTTGTTTATAGTTATGTACTTTGCAAGAGGGGAAAGATGTGAAAGACTGTACATCATTTTTTGAAATATTTCTAAATAAGTTGAAGATATATCAACTAGCCTGAGATTTGTCAGGCTTTATACATATGCATTCTAATGATAATAATAATATTTTTGTAATATTTAAGGTTTAGAAAGTTTTAATCACAAGCCTATGAGGTAGTATCTGTATTTTACACAGTTTAATAAACCTTTAAGCAAGATTTGAACTCAGGTCTCTGCTGACTCCAAGTCCAGCATTCTTTCCAATACATAGTCCTGAGAAAAGGAAAGAGGAATAAATAGTTAAAATGGGAAGTATGCCATCATACTTGGAGTTTGAATTTTTGCTTAGCTTTTTTTTTTGCCCTCAAACTAGAGTTGTACTGTCAATGTCAAGTTTAAATCGTGTGCAACCTCACTTCACAAGAATTTGAGAAAAGATTTTTCTTCCTTTCTTTAAGAAAAAATACAGTGTTATACAAATGAATCAGGTTAGTGATAGAGACTGCATATTTTGGTGAATAGGATCAGGAAAAACCTGGGTTCAGATTTCACCTATGACGCTATTTATGTGACCATAAGCAAGTCACTCTGAGCCTGTTTTATCCTATGAAAAATGGGGATGATAATACCTGTAGTATTTACATCATAGGGTTGTTGTGAGGCTCACATGACATAAGGTATGTAAAATGCTACATGAATTTCCATTATTATTGTTACTGATATTTTGAAAACAGGCACTTATTTTCCAGGCCCTTGGGTTTTTAATCTCCTTATTTTAGTCATAAGATATAAATTAATGTATACATTGTCTCTAGTAGGATCTGCTCTTCTTATTTCATTATTGGCCGTACAGGCTGGTTAGACTAAAGAACATATGATGTGATTATAACTGTTCTTTTTTATGACATTTAAAAATAAATTAGGTTATCTTTCCCTCTTATGTATTCTGTAATGTTTTTTACCTTAAAGACTTTGATATCTGTATCTTTATTTTGATTTGGTTAAGCATTATTATTATGTAGTAGCTAGAAAGCTAGTCTTGGAGCCAGGAAGACCAAGTTCCATTTCAGACACATCCTGGTGGGGCAAGTCACCTAATCTCTCAGGGCTCTAGACAACTTCCTAAGGCTCTAAGTTGTAGAGAAAGGGGCTGTGTATTTTGGCCCAAGTTAACCATGTCAGTAAAATTGTAAGGACTGCCCCTATTCCAATCTACCTAGAAGTAGAATTACTTTTAGAAAAGCAGCTAAATGGTATTGTTTATCCAGGATATAGCTGAATATATAGAAACCACTTTTGATATAGTCAACTTACTGGCTTATTTTTATTCTTTTCTAATAAAATCACAAATGCTAATAAGATTTTCTCAAATAAAATGCATTTTCTTCTTGAGCGAAAGTGAACCTTTATTTAATGAGAAGGGGTATTTGAATAATATAATAATTTTGTCTCTACTTAAAAGAATCATTAAATATTTTACTAGATTCAGCAAAGGCTTTAGGTGGAATTTGGATCCATTTTTAACGTTTAAGCACTCACATTTAGTAGGGTTGCTTTCAAGAATTGGGAATGAGAAAATTGGAAGAACAAAAAGGCTTCAGTTAATGACTGTAGTTGAACAAGCCCTGCAAGTTATGTACCGCTTCTTCATCACTAATTTATTGAGCAAGAATCTAGGTGTTAACAATTTAGTCATTTCTTCTTCTTGGTCAACAGTGAAAATTCCTAGTAATGCTTCTTTGAGGCAATCTACCAGTGCTTTTTAGTGGTAATACAGAAACAATGTGTAAATATGGTATTAACTAAAAGAGCTATATAGTACAATATTGTAACTAGGAAGATCACTCAAAATATTACTCATTCTATTATCATAGTCTATAAAACATTAGAAGAGTTGTGTCATTTGTCTTTTACATGTATGGATTGTATTCATGTTATATTCATCACCTAGTACTAAGATTTTAGGACAAAAGTCCCCAACAGATTCCTGGATGAATTTTTT